ATTTCACCACCAAATCTTCAAAGCGGAGTGCAAAAATTTTAGAAATCACATCTGTAAATCCTTATGACCAACGAGCGTTATTCAACATTTATTCTACACTATCTGGTACATCACTTCAGAAAAACCTGACTGCCTCCAAGTCACCATACCTGGATCTTGCTGAACAATTCAGTTATTACTTCATCGAAAAAATCAAACGCATTCACACTGCATTGAATTCAACAATTTCGGCAACCAATAACCATGACATTATCATCAATACCAGTCCTTCCTTTGATGGATTTCACACAACCAATGCTAAAGAGATTTTAAATATGCATCCATCGACTCAATTCCAACTTTTCTCTTTCTATAAAGACACTTGCACACCCTATTTCTGACTTGATCAATGCTTCACTTCAACGGGGCTTAGTACAGGACTCGCAGTTGTTACTCCAATACTGAAGAAACTGTCACTTGATTGCAATGACTTTGAAAATTACAGATCTGTATCGAAGGTGGTAGCACTCCAATTGAACACATACTTGTCTGATCACTCGCGGTGTACAGAAACAGCTCTTCCATAATGATATATACATGTCACTTCTTTCTGGTAAATCCATTCTTCTTGCTCTACTTGATCTCTCAGCAGCATTCGATACAATTGACCACGGTATACTTCTCTCAAGATTGTCCAATCTTGGTATCACTGATATTCCACTATAATGGTTGATATCCACGTAACGAGATGAGTCTGTAACAATTAAAGGCATTCGTTCAACACCACAAATTATAAATTCTGTTGTACCACAGGGATCCGTTCTTAGTCCCTTGCTTTTTTGCATCTACTACATTTCTCCACTAGGACAGCTTATCAGATGACATAACCTTTACTTCCACCAATACACGGATGATAACCAGCTATACCTATCCTTTTACATTCGTAAGAAGAAACGTGACCACATAACACCTATCCTCAAAGAACATTACTGGCTTCCAGTACAGCACAGAATTGTTTTCAAAATTATGTGCACCACCTACAAAGCTCTGAATAGTCTTTCACCAAGTTGTATATCTGACATTTTTCACTTCAAATCAACTCCTCACACACTTCAGCCATATGTTTTTTGCATACTCCCAACTTCAGACTTGCATCATATGGTGGGCGAGCATTTTCCTGAGCAGCTCCATGCTTATGAAACACTTTACCATTAGAATTGCGTCAGAAACCTACAATATATACCTTTAGAAAGAATCTTAAAACTTTGACAACAATTGATTGTACAGCGCCTTTTAAATTTACGTCATATTGGATACTGGCGCTGTATAAATTTCATTGATTTATTTATTTATTTATTTATTTATTTATTTATTTATTTATTTATTTTAAAGTTTTTGCAAATACATGCAAGTAAATATGATGAGCTCGACAAATTTGATATTATTGTGCTCACAGAAATTAAACCCAAGAGTTTCTAAAAAAAAAATTATGCTGTTGAGCAATGGTGACTTGGAAGCTGAATTTACAGAAGGTAATTGTATCCTATTTCTGACTTGATCAATGCTTCACTTCAACAGGTCTTAGTACCGGGTTCTTTCAAATATTGAAGAAATCGTCACTTGATTGCAATGACTTCATAAATAACAGACCTTTATCGAATTTGCCATTCTTTCGAAGGTGGTAGAACTCCAATTGAACACGTACTTGTCTGATCACTCACTGCAATCTACGTACAGAAAATTTCACATTACCAGATTCACAGATCCAGGAATTCAAATGCGAGATTAATTAATACGAATTTAGATGCCAGGAAGGATAAGTTTGGTCATGTGACCAGCAAACCAAGCACTCGCACTGCGATGCATAAAAGTATGCAGAAGCCAAGGATGACCCTGTAAAGCCTTGAATTCAGATATTGGGGAATGGAATAGTAGAAGCATATTCGATTGTGCAATGAGTTGGGATTACTTATGCGAGATGGCGAAATCACCAATTGCCTCATACGTTGTACGGCTTTAGAAACAGTGAAATCTAAAAATTCGAGTATTTTATCAAGTTGCACTTAACATAAATATTCAACCGTGATAGAAACACTTCGACACAAATATGCAACAAGAATATCATTTATATTTTTATTGTCACTATCAAACGTTTGCAAATGCTGTTACCCTAATTTTCGAATCACTTTTGAATGCTGCCATTTTAGCCCATTTAAAACTGGTGAATGGTAATGGCCACTAAGGAAGGGACGGTAATTCTGTTCATGTGTAATTGAGGACGAAATACATTTTCTATTCCAAAGTAAACTGTACTCCGACTCTGACAAGTAATATTTTCTATGGCAAATAATATGTTTATATAAATCTAAAAAACATTTACAAAGGGACATACCTTATTATATTTAATTGCTCGCATTTATTTATTTATTTATTTATTTATTTTAATGTACTTATACTATGTCCTGCGTGAATAGATAAACAAAACAAATAAACATTTAATCATGACAAAATTCATTATATTGATATTATATCTCCAGTTTATGCTCATGTTATTAACTGCTTACTGAATCAAGGATTTTTTTCCGGATTGACTAAAAATAACCCAAATAAATCCCTCAAAAGGATCGCATGACGAAAGAAGAAACTGCATTTCAATATCGATCCTGCTAATTTTCGGTAAAATTATTGAGTTACTTAATAGTAAACAAACAAAAAACATACTTTTAGATACACAGTTTAAATTAGAAATAAAAGTCAAATTCACGTGTTTCCCGTTACAGCGCCACCATTGCTCAGAATCACAATGTCTACTGGGTTGGTGTGAGATCTGCTGTTCTAAGCAACGCCAATCCAACCACGGCTGTTTTCACAACGGAGGCAGCAACGACTATTGCTATGACAACGGCTGAAGCAACAACTATTGACATGACAACGGATGCAGCTACTGACGTCTATACAAACATCATTACGTATGGAAGTGATGGTGAGTGGTTAATTACGAGGAATAGGTTAGGTCTGAGGAGCAGGTTATACAGTTATACAGTAAATTTGTGATTATTGCTTTATCGAAATTAAAACTTACTTTGTTTTGGGGTCAATTCTTAAAATGTGATGGAAACCTTCTTTGTCCTTTTGATAGATCTAGATCTGATCACGGTTACTTCGGTCTTCTAGTAACCGTCATGTGATGCGCTAATTTAAATGTGATTATTATGCAACTGACCATTTCCCGTTCACTGCGAGATACCGCGTTATGCGTGAAATCGAATGTATTTCTGCACTTAATAATGTGCCATGCACATTCGATGATGGCCAATTTTTAGGAAGCAAGGTTATCTTAACGTCATATTTCCTCGAAATTGATCTACAACAAAAATCAAAATCGAAACATTCGAAATACGCAATGCGCAAGATCTCGTGGTAAATTGAAAATCAACTATGATGTGTGTGTTCACAAATAATCTACTAGTATTATCAAGAATGTTCACATTTTTTTCTGAGGGAGGGAGAGCATATTCATGTGCCCCAATAGGACATACAAATAATATTAAAATCGGGGGTCCAAGACGTTCTTTCCCGTTTATCCGGGTTTATCTCCGATCGATGACAGTAGTGTTGCTTTGCAGATACTGCTTGTACGCTACTAGCTTGTCCGCTAGTCTAGAAGCAGGCGTGCGCTTAAGTGTGAAATGTATCACGCCAATTATCATACACATCACTTTGCTTTCTTTCTTTTCTTCACAGGATCAGGATCTGGGAGTTCTGCTCATTACCAGAACATATTTATAATTATAGTGGTAAACGTGATAATAACCTTAACTATGTAAGACTTTAGAGCGTGGAACATAGGCAGATAAAATTAATCGTTAGTGGCAGAATGAATGTCAACAACTGAGAAAAAACAACAATAAAGTATAGTATAGTAATAATAGGACTGACTTGGGTAATAACAAACGTGCTCACTCAGGAAACAAATTATCATACAATTAACGTGTGTAAGAATAATATGCCAAATGCGACAAACGTTAGATTAACAATAATATAGAACTATTATTTATGTTATTAGCAATATGTATATATCTATATATATATAATATCGAAGAATTCAACAAATATTAGGTTTGTATACGGCCACTAGTATATTGATCTAGGTTATTATATTTGGTAATTCCACATTATATAGTTTAAGCATAGGGTACAGTCCGAGTACGCGAGTACTTGTGGAGACTGGAATATAATTGCTTGTCGCGGAGGGAATTCATAGAGCTAGAATACGAGGTGCACTATGTGACTCAAAATATTCAACTCCAATCATGCATAAATATACACATTTTGAGTTGGTGTCAGACATTCAAACTTGAATGCATTTGTGAATTGGGTTTTAGATAGAAACCCCGAAAGCCAATGACCGACATCGAATTCCACGTAGATTAAGTACTACAGTGAAGGGCAGAAAGCTGTACTTTTATTTATAGTAACTTTCTAAATACCAATTTTTCATTTAAATTCATAGTTATTAGTGAAACTTCTGGTGTATATAAAACCCTACAATGAAGCATTCTGGTTGGTCGTAAAGCTCAAAAAGTAGATTTATAAGTCACAACAACTTCCCATTAAGTAATATATATTTTATACCCTGGTTCACATCTTTTAATACCACCGTCGTCGTTAACAATTGTGTTTAGTCAGATGCGGTGGAGTGAATATACTGTACGCGTGGAAATACTTCTGGGCAGTCTGTTCAATTCATTCAGTATCTAATTCAATTCTACACTCTTCTACCGAACACTAGCATTATAATTTGGCTCTCTTTATATGGACTGTGAGTTTAACATTGAAATATGCATGCTTTTAATACTTCATTATTTTATGTAATTATTGTAGTTGTTAGTTAATAATATGGTTGTTGTAATTATACAATTATATAAACATGGCCTTTGTGACGTTTCATTGCTATTCCTAGTCTTATAATTGCGTTGGTATGCCAATGCAATAGAATGACAAGACTAGATTTCAAAACTCTATGCGTAAAATCCCCAAACAAACGCCCCAACAACCAACATAATGGCGCAGTTAACTTCGATAATTTTCTTCCACTTCGGATCTTCCGATAGCGTCATAACTTCGATGTCGTGTTCGCGTTCCTCTGCGATCTGTGCTTCGTCTGAAATCTCAGTGGCACCACAGCACCAGCTCCCTAAGCCTCGCTTGACAGTGGTACAACAGCTTGTTTGCATCGCTTCTGAAGCAATAAAAGTTGGTATAATATAAGTAGGTCTTTTTCACTAAGTCGCGCCTTCTAGTGATACACTTATGTAGATGATGTGAAAGATGTTCAATTAGATAATTTCTTTTATTATTATTATTCACAGACATCTACCAATATCAACATTGTTAATGCCATCCAATCATTGTTACTTACGATGTACTTCTATTTGCATAATGTAACACGTACAATTATACGACATATAATTGTGAATGAGTATCGGAAACTCGTACATACCTTCCAAACTATTGTTATCGTTTTCTCCTTGAGAAATGTCATCATCTGAACCGATCCTGTATTCTTCGACGTCGTCTTCTTTCCTCTCGAGTGTTTCATTATCGATGAATTTTGATGGCTCCAAAGACAAGTCCTCCTTTGAGGCATCACCGAAATTTTCTTTTTTACTGGCTGCCTGTGCTTCCTCTTTTGCAATTCTTTCTGCGGCACGATGTCTGGTCCACCATGTTAAGCCAATGAGCTGCAATATTAATTCTTCAAATTGTCAAAAAGCCCCTTTCCCTCTCCCCTTACCCTCCTCGATTCTCTATATTCCGAATACGAACACGTACGACTTTCAAATGTTTGCACTCTGTGTCGTGTTGCATTCTGGGAAATGATCAAGGGCGAACACATCTGTAGCGATTAGCACACTTAAATGTTCATAGGCTAAAACACAATACACACAGTGGCAAATACAATACCATCTCATAGGGGAAGATTGTATTTCTAGCAACAACAAATGTGAATCGATCCCTCTCCCTCGAATTCAAAATTTACGTAATCGCCCATGCCTTCAACTAAGAGGGGTGATCAATAAGTTCTCGGCCTCGCTACCTTATTCTGGGGTATAGCTTAATACTATAATGTTTTAAGTCATTACCTATAGAAATGAAAATTTAGGTATTCATTAATTAGCACGCGGTGCCCATTTAAAATCAGCAGGTGAGACGAAAATCTCAAAATGGACCAGACAGAAGCTCGTGCTGTGATCAAGTATCTCTATAAAAAGGCGATGACTACCAAAGAAATTCACGAAGACATGATCACGACACTTGGTGAGGACTCCCTTTCTTATTCCACGTAGCTATAGTCGTGTCGGTCATTACATCACTGTTACCATGTGAAGAGAACAACAAGTCACGTGGCTGTCACTCATTGACATAGCGGCGGCCATTTGCATTTTTGTTCTATCGATAAACCATGTCAACCTTCACCACGTGAATGAGAATATAATACATCACTTACCTCATCTTTGGGTTGTGGTTTGGTGAGTAAACTGAAAATAATAATGAAAATAAACACCACGAGAAACAGAAATATCGCATAATGTAAATAGTGAAAGTTTGCTATCACTGGTGGTCGGGTATCTTCCTCGTCACAACCAGGTGACGGAAAAATGAAGTCAGCTATCAAACGAGCTACTCCAAGAACAAGTCCAATCATTGACGCCCAGAATGTACCCTATAACGTAAAGTAAAAATACTTTGAGTTAAAAGTGTCAAAAATGTAGAAATAAACATTTTCAAACATATTTTGTTTGAATTCATTCAAATCACACTTTCATTCAAACATAAATTGTATTCATCATTTTTCTAATAATTCTTGATAAACATTTTCCCCTACATGTAACCGAGCGCCATTTTGAAATTGGTGTGACCTTTCTACCACAGAGATCAGTACCGAATGACTCATACGTCGCAATGTTCACAGATAATTGACCTATATTTAGTGCGAGTTCTATGTATCTGGGTTTTAAAAACAGAATAAAATAAAATCAGATTGTAAAAGGAAATGAAATCTGATCATTAGTTTTACTGGTAGTCAACTATAAATATAATATCATTGGTTCTGGGAATTATCATGACGTCATCATGATTGCTCCCAGGTACGTCATGGATGGTGTGGTAAATGCATTACAATGTGTACAATTACAATACATTACAATATGTACATGTATGTACCGGTACGATGCTACGAGTCCCAGGGTAAAGCGACATTTTTATACGTCAAGGGCAATTCACATTCCTACGGTGTCGTTATCAGTCACTAGCTACAAGGACAAGACAAAATACACCCGCCCCTCCCTCCACGTGGACATGCCATATTCGCTGTTCATTCGATTCTTGTCATGCGCTCACCTGATATTTCGATATTAGAGATTATCTAACATACTGAATCGAATCCTTGACAAATTATTTGCTTTATTAATATTATCTGTCTATCCACACTCCATCAACAACGATGTATTCTGCACGCACGCGCAGTGACTGGCTGATAATAACCCCTCCGTCGTTCGTGTCCTTTGATAAAATAATGACGTTGTTCGCAATTGCCGACTGTTCGTAATTTCCACTTGTTAAATATACACATATTATATATATAATACAACAACTTACTGTAATTTTATCAGTTCGGTCACGTTTTTAATAATCGGCACCTGATTGGAATATTTGCGGACTTCGTACGTGAAATATTGCCATTGGTGTATAGATGACTCGTCTAACTTGTTTATTTGAATATCTCGCAGATATAATGTTATAATTTAATGTTTTGTATATTGCAAAGAATCGACAAGTTGAAAAAAACGCATAAACCGCAAAAGAATAAGGTCGAGAACACTCTAAAACGAAGTAAACAAAGTGATGAAACTTGAGGGCGTTACAGTATGATGTCATAAACTTCAAGCTGTCGGTTACTGCACGTTGTAGTCAGCTGTGTTTATACTCACTGGTTCGTTGGCACGTTCCCATCCGATGGCTAGAATGAATGCAGCCAGCAGCGGCGGTGATAGGTATGACGCAATGGACTGAAGGTAAACGAAAAGTTGACCAGCGCCGAAGGCTTCGATGAGGGGCAGCCAAAATATACTGAGGCAGACGAGGATTATAGTGAACACTCTGTGCAAGAAATAAAATATTATGGTTTTAATCATGTATTTATAGTGAAAACCCATTGTAGGTACACCGATGTATCATCTGTTAGTTGTCGTTATCGTCGTCGCTTCGAGCACTTTAGCACGTCTTAGGATAGCCCTGAGTACAGTCCTGTAGGTTGGCCT